ACCGACTCCAGTCATCTGTCCCCTGTCTGGTCTGTCGAGGAGAAAAACCAGAGGGACTGAGGAGCTGCTGAGTTCATGGGGGTTGGAGAGAACAGGACAGGTCCTGAATGGGTCGAGACCTGAACAGCAGCATTTCCTTAGGGCAGGAGAGCCCCAGTCTCTAAGGTGCCACAAGTACTCCTGTTCTTTTTGAGGATACAGACTAACACGGCTGCTACTCTGAAACCAGTCTCAGGGAAGGTTTTAGTTGCAGTGAGATGGGTCTCAGCAGTAACGAATAGGGCTCGGACCTGTGGGTTTGCATTGGGCCAATCTCTATTATGTCACAGCAGCACCGAGAGACCCTAGTCCAGATCAGGGCCCATTGTGCTGGCCGCCGCACAGACACAAACTGAGAGACAGTCCCTGCCCCAAAGAGCTCATAATCGAAGGCTGTGCAGTCTAGTGGACAGAGCGCTGGCTTGGAACTCAGGAGACCAGGGTTCTGTTGCTGGTCTGCTGGGTGACCTCAGGCAAGTCTGTGCCTCAGTTTCCCCATCTGTAAAATGGGAATATTGGCACTGCCCTCCTTTGTAAAGCGCCTTTAGAGCTTTGGATGAAAAGCACTATAGAAGCGCTAGGTATAAAACCGAAGAGAGGGCAGGAAGCAGAGGTCAAGGGAATTGCCCAGGGTGGCACAGAACGTTATTGGCAGAACTAGGAGTAGTGCCCAGGTCTTCTGCATCTCAGACTAATGCCCTATCCCCTGGACCACAACAGCCAGCAACACTAGAGATGGGTCAGAACCAGAACCCCGGGTCGAAACACCCCGGAACCTTGGGGATGTTCAAACCCACATCCAGATCTGAATGTCAGAAACGGCTCCTCTCACTAGATACAGGCCTGGGGTGCGTCTTAGAAACCTGATTCAGGATCCATCACTTCACCAGAGCGAACCAGCGACAACGAAACTGTGAAACCAGGGCAGGAGTGCAGGAGAAATGAAACTTAGTGAGGAAGCGTGTGTGGAAAAGTGACTCCAGGAAACAGATGGGACACTGCAGAGAGACACGGGGATGTTCACTTCCTTCTCAGCCCTGCTGGCTTGCAGTGTCCAGAGTTTAGCAGTTATTTTGGGCTCTCTGGCACACCACCAACCTGTTTTAGTTCTGTAATTTGCCGGATATCTTTGGAGCCAAGTTGGGGCAAGCATGTACAGCCCTAGGACCTCAGCGTGCTGTTCCCAGTGGGACGCCATGTGCTGGAGGGGATCTTCCATTGAGGCTTGCTATAGATCAGGAGAGAGTGGACCATTTTCTAGATGGGAGCCCCAGGAAAACAAGGTGATAATGGGAATGGGCTCCTCCTAACCCAAGTGCTGCAAGTTCGCACACTGGAGATAGCTGGGAAATGCAGACATTGTTGCAAAACAATTGTGAAATTTGTTGCAGAAGTGTTCATCAAAATTTCACATTTTTGGAAATTTCTGGCCTGCAAAAAATTAAAAAAAATTAAAATCATGAAAATTTTCCAGGAAGTGTGAAAATTGGTAACATTTTTGACCAGCTGCATTTTTCAAGCACTGGGCGGAAGCGTGCGTTCTTGTCCCCTGCAAGCGGTTAGCCTGCCCAACAGATAAAAGCCTTCTCTGAAGATCTCGGGGTCTGTCTTTGCTGGGGTCCCAGAGTGGAGGGTATTCGATGGTACCTGCTAAAAGGTGCCCACAGGAGGCCATTTGCCGTGTAGACTAATCTAGCTACAGGACTGATACTGCTTCCATTACCGTAGCATCTGAACATCTCACCGCCTTTCTGTATCTATCCCCACAACACAGGAAACGGGAGGCAAAGCAGGGACTTGAACCTAGCTGTCCCGTGTTGGACTAGCTCACCTAACTGCTAGAACATCCTTCTCCCGAACAACATCTGGGTCCTGCCTCAGCACAAGGGGCTGGACTAGGCCTCTCTAGCAGACATGCCAAACCCATGAAAAAACGCAGAAATCAGGCTTGTTTTTGGCTTAATTGGCTTGTGAGGTGCTTGTTTTTAGCTTGTAGCCTGTTGGGCTTGTAGTGTCTTTTTTTTTCCCTTTGATCGGCTCCCGGCAAGCAGGGGCAAGGGAGGGAGAGAGTCAAGGGTGCACAGCGGGCCCACCATAGTCCCAGAATGCAGGCCGGGGGGGATCTAGTCACAGAGTATTGGGGTCCTTAGGGATTGGCTTGTTTTGAAATGGGATCAGCTTGATTTTTGGCGTATTGTGAAAGTCGGGTGCTTATTTACCGCGTGAAAGTTGGCAACTGTGTTCTCTAGGCCCCTTCCACCCCTACATTTCTATGGTTGGACCTACAAATTTAGGAGTAAAACAACAGGTGCTATTCTTCTTGCATGCACTAGGTGGTGCTCTTTTGACAGACTAACTACATACACCAGTGATACTCCGACCTCAGTGGTTCCGGAGCCAAATTAGTGATCAACGTTGCCCGAACGATAGTGGGAATTCGCTGATTCGTTTACTAGAGTGCTATTCATATTTAAACAGTATGACGGGGAAAGATTTAGTGTGTTATTCTCACAGCAAATACATTAATAACGTGCCCAAATCAATGTGGTAGTCTCTAAGGTGCCACAAGGACGCCTCTTTTTGCTGATACAGACTAACACGGCTGCCCCTCTGAAATTAATAACGTAGTGCAAGTTAATAACTTCATTGGCTAGTAAAGCATCCTGGTTGGTTAACAACTTCGATTGGTTACTAATGAAATCACGCAGTGTTTTAATATCACCTGCTGCAGGAAAAACATTAAAGAGCCTCTGTCCGAGAGTCACCGATATACAGCCACCCAGCTGCTGCCTTTTATACACTGGGCTCCTACCACAGACATTTCCCCATGGCATGGTTCCTGCCTAGAAGGGCCTACAGCTGGGGGTCCCATCCCCACAGTATGTGCAACAGGAGATGAGCCCCTCACCTTCTGCCCACGCTATGGTTTCACCGAGCTTATGCTGAACGTCCATCAGATCAAAACTGACCACTGTGGGGAAAATTTTGCTCTGGCTTCGCCAGTGTCATGGTGGAATGACTCCACTGACTCCAACGGGGCTACTCTAGATTGACACTGGATTGACACCAAGGGGTGGGTCTCTTCTCATCCACAAGGAGGCTGCTATTCAAGTCTCTCTGCGATGGAATACACCGGCCCTATCCTCTGTCTAAACTCAGTGTCCTTCCAAACTCTCAGGCTTCTCTTCACTCACAGAGGGGTTATGTCAGGTCGACCAAACCCCTTATCTCCACAAAGGGCCCATGGCCACTCCCCTGCACTTCAGGGCAATTTGGGGGTGGATGCTCATTTAATCAGCCTGGATCTGATCTCTACACATGGCCAAACCAAAATCCTGGAGCTGAGCTGCGGGGGAATTTGAATCCAGATCTGGGATCCCACCTGTCGTTCCAATCTGCACCAACACTCCGGATCTGAACGCCTCCAAACAGGGGGCCCGATGTGAACGGTGGGGCTTGCGCCCAGCTCGGGGACATCCCATGACCCTCTGCTACCAAACGTCACACGACTAACTCTCTGCATTGCCCCATCAAGCCATTGTGTAGGTCTGAGCTGGGATCACCTGGCTGAACCCAAGTGTCCTTGCTCCCAGGCAGAGGACGCAGAGAGATGACACCTGGAAGAGCCAGGAATGCATTTACACTTGTACGCAGGCATGCCCAGTGCCCACGCGCTTCGCAGAAGATATTTGGGACCCAGTCTTGCAAATTTTCCTGTTAATCTGGGAGTTTTTAATCTCAGCTATGGGCTTTCTTCCTTTCCCCACAATCAGCTGTAGGTTACAACATTGTGAAGAATTTGAAGGGATGTCTTTGACTTTTTTGGGACTGGGGGGGAGCTGCCAGCAGCCTTCTTATCCCCTCCCCTTCCAAAAAAATAAAAAGATCTAAATATTCCCAGTGTCTGAGTCTGTGGGGGCAGGACATGGTCCCACAGCTGGAGTCCTCAACCCAGAGACATCAGAGCTTCCAAACAAGCCAAGCAGAATGGTGGTTTTGTCTAAGGTCTCTCATTGGCCGCCCAGAACTAGTGGGTTATCCAGTCAAGAGTGGATCATCTCCAACCAGCAGGTAACTGATAGATGGGGTCTCCAACCAACACTCTCTGTCGAGGTGTCTGGTTTAACAATGCTATGGAGCTGGGCTATGCTCATCCCAAGGTCCCATGTCCCCATCCCTGGGATGCCAGGTACATGCTTTCACAGCAGCAACCACGTCATTGTACAGAATCGGGTGCAGATTCCAACAGCTGCACCAGTGTGAATCCGGAGTAAGACCAAAGGAGTCAGCAAGTAACACCAATAACCGGTGTGTGTGTGTGTGTGTGTGTGTGTGTGTGTGTTATTCCACTGTGACACTGGTTCAGTTGAGAGCGACATTTATCCCATAGCAATCAAAAGCGGTTTTCATCTGATGGACTCTCAGCCTGATCTCGGTGAGATGAGCAGGGTCCCGGCCTGATGCCTAGCGGGTGGATGACCACCAGTCCGAGCAGAGGTGCCAAGGCCTCGCTGGGCCATGGAGACGCACTCCTCTTCCACCCTGGTTTGGGTTGCAGCATGTTGGCAGGTCAACATGGAGGAAGCCTGCTCTATTGCTACTCATCCTGCCTCAAATCTTTGGTTAAACAGAGGCCTCTAGTCTGCAGGGCCTTAGACTCAGCTCCTTTCGCCAGCACAGCTTCCTTTTCCAAACACTTATTATTATTAGAAATGGAGATATCCCATCTCCTAGAACTGAAAGAGACCTTGAAGGTCATCAAGTCCAGCCCCCTGCCTTCACTAGCAGGACCAAGTACTGATTTTTGCCCCAGATCCCCAAGTGGCCCCCTCAAGGATTGAACTCACAACCCTGGGTTTAGCAGGCCAATGCTCAAACCACTGAGCTATCTCCCCCCATCTAACTAAAGACTAACCATCCTGCAAGAGCCTATTGCATGATCCTCTTTTCTCGTCCACCAGGATCTCCCATAACGTTATCCAGTGGGAGCGGTCATGTCCTTCTTATTTCAGCTTATCTTCCTGGCCAGTCATGCCCAGCAAGGTACGGTGCCATGTTTAACCCTCATAATAATGATCAATTGTGTTCTGTTAGCTTCTGCCCGCATGCAGCACTCCCTCCGTTGCCTCCAGCATGGCAAAGGGTTTGTACCATTAGGAAAGGGATAGAGAATAAGACAGAAAATATCACAATGCCACTATATAAATCCATGGTACGCCCACACCTTGAATACTGCGTGCAGTTCTGGTCGTCCCATCTCAAAAAAAAAAAAAAAAAAAGCTATATTAGAATTGGGA